TTAAAAATAAAATATAAGCATAAATAAATAAAGCCTTTAAAAAAACTTTAATTTATAAAAATAAGTTCGCAATATAAAAAGGATTAAAATTAGCCGAATTAATATATTATATATAATTAAAAAAAAATCGCTCCCGATTAATATAAATTAACGGAACGGATAATTGGTAGCAGACGTATAAAGTAGTTTTGCAATATCCGCAGAAAATTACTTTTTACGCTATTTAGTTATTTTAGATTTAGCGATAACGATTTTAATTATAAATATAAAAATAAAGCTTATTAACTATAGGCAAATTTTTAATTACGATTTTATCTAATTAGGTAACCGGAAATTATTTATTTATAAATACGGTATAATAATTATATAGCTCGGATCTAAAATATTATTATTAAATAATATAATTTATTATCCTAAATTACTAATTATATTAATATTACTCCGTTAATTATAAAAATAAGGATATTATTAAAATAATAAAAACGACTTTATAATATTATATAAAAAAATAGATTTTTAATTAATATATTTTAAAACTAATACGGATAATACGTTTTCGAATATAAATTTTACGAATTACTTTTAGCGTTATTTGCTATTTATCGGAAAAGATATATAATATAAATAAAAAGGCTATTATTAATTAGAAAAGCTATATAATAGCACTATAAAATAGGATATTTAGGCCCGGCAGCTTTCGAATATTTTATTTATTTATTTTAAAAGGTAAAAATTAAAAAATTAATTATAATAAAATATAAAATTTGCGTATTTGTAAAAATTATGCGTTAATTACGGTAAGCGTTATGGCTAATTAATAAAAATTATAGCGAAAAATTAGCTATAAATTTTTATAATTATATTAAAAAAATCGAAAATTATATATTTTAAATACTAATTACCTATCGGTAAACGGAATATATATAAAATTATTATTTTACGGAAAAAACTGCTATTATATTAATTAATGCTTTCCGATCGTTTTTAAATATAATAGAAACCTAATATAATATTAAAGTTAAAATTATCGAATACGATAACGAAATTATAAAAATTAAATAAATAATCGGAAAATATTTTAAAAATAAATATATTAAACTTAAGCCTTTAGTATTATATATATAAGCTTAAAATAAAGCTATTAAACGCTTAAAGGGTATAATTAAAAAAAAAGAACGTATAATACGTATTAGCGCAAAACTCCTTTATTAATTTTAGCCTAAAATCGGTAAAACCGCGGTATATTTATATAATCGCACGCCGAATTATAATTTCCGATAACGTATATTATATATAAAATTCTATAAAACAGTTACGAAAGCAAAAAAAATCCTAAATTTAAGCTATAAGCCTAATTAAACCTATTTTAAAGCTTTCGGATATAAAACGTATATAATAACGCTAATAATATAATAAAAATTCGGCCGTTTATAATAATTAATACCTAAAGCATAAATAGGATATTTTATTAAATATAAATTATTTAATATTTATAAAATATAAATTTTTAATTAAAATAAATTAATTAATACGAAAAATATAATTATAAATAAAAAAAAATTATGCGACGGAAAATAAAATATATTTAAAAATAAGCTTTTAAGTATTAATACCTAATTTATCGCCGATTTCGTAATTAATTACACAATATTTAAAAATAAGATTTTATAAAAATTAAAAAATAAAAAAACCGCCGTAAAAAATATTTTATTAAGCGATAATTAAAATAATTAAAAAAAAATATTAATTAAAAAAATAAAAAAGCAATGCTAAATAAAAAAAATAAATAATACCCTTTTATTACCGCGAAATTTGCCTTTTAAATTCTATTATAAATACTTTTATTAGCCTTATTAATATATAATATAAAAGCGATTATAATTAAAAATACGGCGTTATTAGCAAAAAAACTTAAAATAATCCTATAGCAAATAGCTTTTTTAGCTGGTTATAAAGCTATTTTTAAAGCAAAATAAAGCAATAATTAAAACGATAAAGCGAAGCTAAAACGCTTTTTTTATTAAAAAATAAAAATTTATAAAGCGGAAATCCTAGCTCCTTTTAAATAATATTATAAATTATATTATTATCCGTTTAGCAAATTATTTTTTAAGCAAAAATTAATTATTTATAAAATTATAAAAATATATAATTTTAAACCGAAATTAATAAAAAAAATTTACGAATAAAAGGCAAATAAATCCTTAATTATATATAAATATACGTATATAAATTCGATAAATATAGGAAATTCTAAAAATATAAAGCAAAATTCGTCGTTCGCGGTAATTAATAGGCGAAATTTTAAAACTAAAAAATTTACGCGGCTATATTAACTAAAAAATTATTTTACACCTTAATCGCGATTATAGCGAAATTCGATTTTAAATTAATATAATATAACGTAATAAACGCGTTTATATACGCTTTTATTAATTAAAATATATTTATAAAAATACTAGATAAATATCGAAAAAAAAATATTATATTATTATTAAATAAAATATTTTATAAATTACGGATATTACCGCTATTATAGCAAAAAAAATTTATAAAAATTTTAGCCGAAATCGGCTATATTTAAATATTATATAAGCCTTGCGCATTTATTAAAAAAAAAATGCTAGTTTTTTTTTTATATTAACGACGTAATTATTATATATAGGAATAAAAATAAAAAGGCTATTAATTAATTAATATAGCACTTTATAAAAAAGTATAAAATTAATAATAGCGAGCTAATATAATAGTTTTTTAGGATAGAAATAATTAGAAATCGTATATTTAAAATAATTTAGCTATCCTAAAAGGTTTATTTTAAAAAAATCGCTAAATTTATAAATAAAAAAAAAATTTATATAACGCTAATAAATTACGAAAAACTTATACTTCGATTAATTATAGCGTTTCCTTATAAAATATAAAAATATTAAAAAAAAATCGGATTATTATTATTCGCGGCTATATTTATAAAACTAAATATCGCATTCGCAATAGCTAAACTAGCTTAATTCCTTAATAATTTAAGCTAAATATATTAAAAAACTGCTAATCGAGCTTTAATTTATTTAATTAATATTAAAGAATTTTTATTTAAAATCGGAGGATTTTTTAATTTAATAATTATTAATAACGCATTATTTGCCGATAATAATATTAATCGCAAAAATACCTAAGCATTCGCTATAAAGCTATTCGGAAAATTAATTAATTAGCGATTAAATAAACAAAATATAATTATTATTTTTATTATAAAAGCTAAATTATTTACGCTAATATAAGCTACTAAAAAAATATTATTCGTTAATCGATTATTAAAGGAACTATCGATATAACTAAATAATAATATTATTATTATTAAATATAATAATAAGCAAATTATTAATTTAATTAACGCCGAAATCGCGTTATTAAAAACGAAATTCCGTTATATAAATATTTATAATTATTAGCTGCGGTAAAAAGCCTAAAAAAAAAAGATTAGAGTTATTTATAAATTTTTAAATAAAATAATAATAAATAAATTAACGAAAAGCTTATTAATAGGAAAATAGCAGAATTTTTTATAATAAATAAAATTTAAAATTACCTATCGTAATTAAAACGAATAGCCCTAAAAAAAGCTATATTTTACTAATTAATAATTTTAATTTAAATATAGCTAAATTTACGATAAATCGTAAATTTAAAAGGGTATATTAAATAATAAATTATAGTTTTTATATATTAGCGTATGCTTAAGCATACGGATTAATATTATAATATTTAGATAAATATACGGGACCTCCCGGGGATTAGCCGGGGCTATTTAAATAAGTATATACCTTATTAAAACTAAAAGGCGCAGAATATAAATTAATATATTATATAATTAATACCTAGATCAGACCAGTTTAAACTCCAATAGGAAAGCACCACCTTGATTAACAAATAGCATAAAACCTGTTAAAACAGTGTCTTCGGAGTCGATTTTTACCCAAAATAGCAGTCGTCCCCACCTATTTGTTAAAGACAACCCAAACGTGCTCATATTCATCTCCGGGCAGCGTGGAGACACGGATCTCAGCAAAGTGGTGAATGGCGAACCACTCGATCCAAGCCCTCGGAGCTTCAATTTCGACGATTTTGCCGGGTTTACAGATAAGCTCGTGCTTGAGCTGCACAGTTACGACAACATTGATCTACCCAGAGTCCTGGGCGGCGTCCGGCCTGGCAAATACGATTGCGCAAAACTGAAAAGGGGACTTTATAACGCTGGATTCTCGACTTTATCTGCGAATGCCACCAACCGCTTTCCGCTGGTTCTATCAGAATTCGGCTGGAACCAGGACGATTTCAATACCACCTACGCCACGTGCTTGCTAGACTATATTCGAGAGCAGCAGGTCAACTGGATGATTTGGCACATTGGGGGAAGCTATTATACTCGCCAAGGCGTCCATGACGCCGATGATTCGTGGGGCCTCTTGACGCATGACTGGTCCAGCTTTAGGTCGCCCGAGTTTATCGACGCGCACTTGAGACCGTTGGCTGACTGGACCCTTTCAGCCCACCTGAAACCCATGACCGAGACGAGTTTCCATGGATCCAGTCATTCCATGGTTACCAACTTGGGCTCTTACAAACTCGAGTCCCTTTTGCTGATGATAGCCATGGTACTCTTGACTGCAGCTGTAGGCATTTGTGTTACAAAACGATCTCGTCTTCAAATAGCCCGCTGGTTTACACAAACGCGAGTGTCGCTCAGCCAGTTTGCGGCAAAATGCTTAGGGGGGAATAAGGAGGTGACACTAGAACACAATGATGTATATCAAATGGAGCAGATGCGCCTAGTCCAGAATCAAGAAGATCATGATTGATTCGACAACTTGAGGTGATGGAGGGCGTCCTTGCACTCTGCTCTTGTTGATATAGAGTAATTATGCCCATGACAAATACATTACGTCTTCACATGAATCTATCTTCAGGAGTTACTGTGTAGACAAAAGCAGCTCCCTCCCTTACAAGACCATCGACAAACTGGATAGAAGCATGAAACCCAGAAAGAGTCTGAAAGATACATGCTCGGACATTGACGTGTTCGGAATTTGACTGTCACGGACTGCCGTTGTAGACCGCGGGCAAGCCAGTCCAACCATTTGCGAAGACGTGACGGTCTTGTTTGTACCAGCCCAGATGAGCATGGTAACATGTGCGTAGTTTGCGGCTCGATCGTAGGCTGTGTAATTGCCCAATTGGTGTATACTTCGATCTCCATCCTCGATGCCGGTATATATGGTAAAATCGGATACGTTTTGTCCAAGGTTCAAGGCTTCAAGTGAATGTCGAGTCAGCTTGAGCCATTCTAGTAGATTTGAATGGTAAGTGAAGGGAGGGGAAGGCACCTACTACTACTGAGTATATTGTGTCCAGCCAGATCCTCGCAACTCGATGGCATGACGAAGGAACCGTGACATGATTTTTCCGAATTGTAAGTCCTCATGCCTGCGACCACCAAATCTTCCGTACACTGTTCGCCCAAGGCTTCTTTGCAGAGACCCTCATCGTCGGCGGCTTCCACACGACCTAGATCAATTGCACAGACAGTCCACCCAGTCGTCGAGTTGGAAGTATCTCTCCGGAGCGACATTGTCCTTTTTTCTTGCGATTCATCTAATTGACGAACGTTGGTAGAGGTGCCAGTGACGTAGCCCGACGTTTGGGTGCCGTCATCCTCAATGAGCGTGGCCGGGATGTCGGCGGCAGTGTAGGTGCTTATTGACCATGTGCTGAAATCGCCTGGCCACGGTTGCGTCAGGTCCCAGCCCGTGATATTTACGCTTCCGCTCGAGTTGTAGTTGCCAGCCGATATAGTCTCGAGCACGGTTGTGCCAAGTTCCACAACTGTGCGAGTAGAAATACCTGCAGAGCGCCCACTGCTCATGACATTGGTCACTTGCATGACGATGTTGGTTTGCATGGAACGTGTTTCGAGGTAGTTGGACTGGCAGACTATTGACGCTGTTTGCTCTGTAGAAAATGGGTGTGGGAAATCTATCCAGATCCTGCAGTCGACATATTTATCTTACTATATAATACCCGATGGTAACTGGTATTTCATGACATTTGCCAAGGCAAAATGGAAGAGCTGAAAGATGATGAATATGAGCGAATCATCTTTGTTTGTATACTCCGTGTAACGAGCTGGTAGCTATAATTTTCTGCAAAGGCTGCCGATCTCTGCTCGCACTCTGTCTTCGCATTTGCGCTATCTTGGCCTCGCGTGCACCAGGGCTGACAGACCATCCGGTGGGATAGCCATAGCATGTCATTATCCAAAACTAACCTAGTATATTTCTGCCGAGTTCAATTTATCGACGATAGAGTCGATGACTGGCCAAGGATGCTGCGACATTAGTCTAATTTAGCTTGTCCTGTCTGCATGCAACAAGTGACTATAATTAGAAGACAATATTAAGCTTATCTTCTTGACGAGGATGTATGTACCATGTATACAAGACGGTCATTGGCAGATGAGCCTATAGTCCTGTGAAGTAATTTCTCGGCTTATTTCATGTATAAGTATCTGAGCATGAATGAGTATCTAACAACGATCTTTTAGTACATTCTGGTGATGAACGTGCTGGCTAGCACGAGTATAAAAAGTGAGTATATTTGTGATTGATAAACTGATGGTCTACACAGTATAGCTCCCGCTTGTCTCGGTGTATGTACACTGGAGCAGTGGTCTACAGAAACGCCTTACGGGAAATCATTTGTATTGCCGCAAACCAGTACCCAAACCCAATCATTTGGCCAATTAAATCATGTGCAACATTCCAGCTCCTACGAGATGGCGTAGGCACATATATGTGATATATAGCCACGGCGCCTCTGAGTTATCCTAACGTCGAAAGGTCCGTCGATGTAGCCGCATATATTGAGAGGATTGACACATCTCAGCCAGGAGCTTTTCAACCGAGTTTGTGTGGTGAGTTCAAGGTTCAATAAGGTAAAGTGCGAGAGAAGACAGAAAGGCGGCAGGGAGGCAGCCCACTAGCAGCTACACTGTACACAACAGTGCTGATTGTGCTAGTAGCTGGAATTGGAGAAGGCCCAGCAATTTGGTCAAGTACAAAAAGGTTCAAAGAGAGAGGCTTGAATGTGGCATTGTGAAGTAGTCACACCTATTATCTATATTAGGCCCATTTCTAGATAGAAGCTCTGCACAAGCTATTCAAGTTGACGTCTTTCTATTCAATGGTTAGCGGTACGTCGGCACAAGATGACGGCGGGCGGAACCGCTGGGGCCGTTGATCAGCGACTGATGGCCATCGCCCCGGACCGCCTAAAGTTAAGGCCCGCACACTGCTCCTTCTAGGCGTGCTAGGCTCCAGCTTTGTGACTGTCAGTGCAAGGTGTGTTGGTGTGCAAGTGATAAGTGTTGGCCCCCGTTGTAAAAGCTCATGTGGGGTCCCCAATGGTGCGCCCAGTCTAAAATTCCTTGGCCATACGACACAGCCACGAACTGATGACGGCGTTTCAACGGGCCAAGCAGTCTTGGCTCTTTCTCGCCTCGCCCAACAGCGAGCGAGCCGGTGGTTTTGTCGCATAACCCAGAAGATCAGAACATCCGTTTTCGCGAAAAAAGCCCCCAGGTAATTTGCAATTGCATTCACTCATTTCCTTTTGAGAGGAAGAAAAAAGCAAGTTCCTCTTTTCATAGAAACTCAATCAAATTTCGCGAAAACAAACACAGACATTCTCTGTTGGCGACTTCGCGTACCTCTTTATTTTTGTCTTCCCTTTGCGACATCGCTACGTCTTGAAGCTCTAGTCTACAGCAGAGAAACGTCACGTAAACAAGTGCCGGCCAAAGGAACCGACCCAACCAACCACCACAACACCACAGACAGCAACAGCAACAACAACAACAACAAGACACCAAAAGAGAAGCCAACCATGTGTCTCATCTTCACCTGTGGCGAGCACACCTTCCGCAAGGAAGTCGAGGGCTACGAGGGCATCGTCTGCCAATGTCACAACTGCGGCAACTACAGTGGCAAGGTTATCAAGTCGAACCCGTGGTTTACCTTTTGCTTTGTTGTAAGTTTTTTTCTCTCTTTGGATTCTCTCTCCGTTCCTCAAGAGAGCCTCTTGTTGACTGATTCAATAATAGCCCATTCTTCCCTTGTCGATTCACGGTTACGAAGAGGTTAGCTGCCATATTTGCAACTTTGCCCAACCCCTCGAGAACAGACAGGATGTACAGCAAATGAAAGGTGGTGGTGGTCAAGGCATACCCATGCAGAATCAAGGCGGTCCACCGCAGGGCTGGGGAGGGCAACAACAAGGAGGAGGGCCTCCGCAAGGGCAACAGCCAATGCAATACAAATAAGACGCCCTCCCACGAGCAAACGGCCGTCCCATCTACGGGTTTTCCATAATGAGAAAGATGGATCGTGATTTGGCATAATTGGAACAGGTGGAGGAGGAGGATGAGGAGGAGGAGGAGTTGCTGCTACTGCTGCTGCGTATTACATCTGGCAGGCGTGTTCTCTCGTTTCATTGCACACGGCACAATGTTGGCGTTGATGGGCTGTCTTCTTTATTTTTCTGCGATTTCGAGATTCCCCCTTTACTGAAAGTTTGTTGTATTCATATCCAAGCATGGAAAAAATATTACACAACATTAATACATCACATAAGGCATGTGAAAAAAAAAATACTCTTTCACGAAACCTGATTCTTTCGAGACGAGATCAAAATGAAACAAAACCTTTGACTAAACTACACGGTTTCATCTACTCACGGCCACCATGTTAGGCATTCTGGCATGGAATGATAGATGTAATTACATGCAATTTTCTGGTTATGACAAGGTGGAAATGAACACGGATCCTTGAACTAGAAAACAAAGTGGTGGCAGCTATTATTCAAATTGCCTAATTAGGCTATACAATAGGAGGGGGAAACTCAAATCAATTGAGGGATAGTTATCAAACTGGCCAAGGACGGGGAGAATTATCTAAAGAAAGAAGAGGGAAACGATGGTATTTTTTGTCTAAATGGGAGGGGGTTGGCACCCGCGGTTCAATCTAGGCCGCGGCAGGCGTAGGTTGCTGAATCAGAGCACCGAGATTGATGATGCTGTTGAGCGAAACGTTGCTCAAGTCTATCGAGGGCCCCTGGTTGACGCCTTGAATAACATTTGCATTCTGTACAGATGTCGTGACAGCGGGAGCAGCAACTGCCGGGTTGCCACCGACGGGCAGGGCAACCGAGGAGGCGGCAGCTGCAGTAGTCGCGGCTTGAGCAACCGATGTGGTCAATGAGGTTGATGTGGCTGAAGTAGTTGCTGCTGCTGCTGTGCTGGTGGTCACTTGTGATGTACTCACAACCGAAGCGAGAGTGGACGACGACGACGAGACAACTGCGGCTAGAATCATAACTCATTAGTCTGCAATCTCCCAAGTATGATGCTTTCCCTTCTTATACTTACCCGCTGAAGAGCTCGTGGTAGCGACACTGGTGACTGCAGCAGCGCTGGTGGCAACGCTTGTAGCAGCGCTTTTAGCAGTGGTGAGGACCGAGGTTGTCGCTTGAGCCGCAGAGGTGGTTGCAACCTGACTTTGTGCGGGAACAGCGGCGAGAGCAGAAGAGGCCACTGCGGCGGCAGATGACGCAATGGCAGCAGCATCGGATGCTGCAACCGGAGAGCCTTGAAGTGTGCCACAGGCGATCAACTGCATCATGGTCGTAGTCACCTGCTGAGTAACAGTCGAGGCCAACGCGGTGATGGTGACCGTCGGGGCTGCGCCAGTTCCGAAGACGGTCGTTGTCACGAATGATAGCTGCGCCGCCCTATACACACAGTCAGCACGAGTGTCGAGCCATAGTCCCCTTGCTCGCCAATGCCAGCTTACCCTTCCTGGTTTCCAGCATTCTGGCCTCCCTTTTGCGTCTCGGCGGATTGGGTGACGGTGACAGTCTCGGTCTTGACAGCAGCTGTCGCATTCAGCCCCCCCGCAGCAGCAGCAGCGCCGACCGTGATGGTCTGTCGAACAGTCTCGGTGACAGTCTTGGCCTTTTGGTCGCCTTCATTGCCACCATTCTTGCCATTGTTTCCGGTCAACTGTCCCAAAATGTCTCCCAGTATATCGCGTTTTGCCGGCTTGTCGTAGTAATGATATGAGTCCGCCTATGGCCGTATCAGCTTCCATACTCGATGATGCCTATTTCCCACCTGACCTACCTGGACGAACGACAGCAGCCCCAGCGCGGCAAAGGAGAGGATATCGAATCGCATCTTCATCTCGACTCGGACTTTGAGGGCGTCGGGATTATGTCCAATAATCTCTTTTCCTGCCTAGCCTTCGAGACCGTCCCGGGCCACGATGGCTTCGAAAGAGCGAACAAACAGACCAGCCGTTATTGATTAAATAGGGATCAACCCTAGTAGTTGCAAAATGAGCGTATTGAATAGAAAGACTACACTCTGGTGGACGAGTTCTCTGGGCACTCGTGAAGATCACTGAAGGAGAGAACAATTGGAGATCGACGGGCAACTCGGAACATAGGACGGCCAAGCATCAACTAGGTATTATCAGGAGGTATCGCAAACATAAAAGTCAGGGTACCCAGGCCGAGTTTCGCACGGGCATAATAGGAAAGAAAACGTGCCGGTCGAAGCAACAAGGACACGCACACGAAGAGAAAGAAACACGTCAACCCGGAAGGAAAGAAGAAGATTCAGCAATCCACCATGGTGAGAGGATGGGACGAAAATAGGACATGAATGGTCGTAGGAAAGGAAGCAGAGAAGAGAGTCTCTCCCTCTCTCATGCTTGGCAACTCAGTGACCAGCTATTGACCTAGGTCGTTTTGAGGGTGGTTTCGACCGGGGCAGAGGACAATAATGGGCCCAGAGTCCGGAGGGAAGCGATGTGAACTGATGCAAGTGACGGTCCTTGACAGACGAGCTTGGCCTTGGCTGGGCCAATAGAGGAGCCAAGACAACCCCAGAATGCCGAAATGCCGCCCACCATGAACAATGCGGCTCTGACAGCTCTGCGACTAGACTGAGTAAAATCTGAATAAAGTTATTGAGCCGCTTAACGGTAGCAGGGGGTGAAGCGCAGGGACAGCGGGGGGATTGGTGAGACGGGCCCCTGACGCAGGCGTGTTTGAGGGCCGGGGTCTGGACGGGAGTCGAGACACCATCGTCGCACAGGCGCCAGTCCAAAGCTGTGGCATATTACAGATGCATTGCAGAATCAAGGGAAGAGAAAGATACAAAATTGGATTCTTTGCAGGCAAAATCTTGAAATATACCAAAGAAACATTTGCCCCAGCTGCAATCGTCGTTCATAAGACGAGAATGTCCCCATCGCAATGTTTGAAGCAGAGGTATCAATATACGTACGAGCTTCAGGTCTTGCTTCGTTGCCTCTCCAGCGACAAACAACATGGGCGCGAGCGCAAGCAGGCCACAGACGAGTACGGCCGAGGTTGCAAACCAGTTGTGCACAGCAGTTCCAGGAGGAAGAGGAATGGATAATCAAACCTGCCGAGGTGCGTAACCACTAAAGGATCGCTTCTCTGGCAGCATCAATGCTTGGAAATTCGTCATCAGGTCCGTCCCTTACAAGACGGTATGACTGTAGTTTCAGTCCAGAGACAGGTGTTGCCAGTCTTGTGTCGTGCTCTGGCTTTTCGAATCAGATGAATCCACCAAATGGCGAAAGAAGGCATCCATCATCACAGGACCGACTCGTCCTCATCGGCGCGTATTTTAATCTACAATGGTGGTTGCAATATAGAAAGCGCCCTCTGTGAAAGAAGATGAATAAGAGGCATGCATTTTCAAGGTTGCCAAATCTGCAGGTATCATGATGCAAGAAATCACCATTGGTTGTAGATGCGCCATTGGTTATTTAAAGCCCGGGAAGAAAAAGCTTGGCCTGAAGTTGTCGAGTTTCAGCACACTTCGATACCGACTAGGGGTAGCAACGACCCGTGCTTTGACATTCCCCACGACAGATAACATGGAGTGGGTAGCGATACTTGACTTGGGCAATCAACCACAAGAACAATTCATACCCAGAAAGTAAGTAAGGAAGAGAAAACTTAATAACTTATGCAATTGATATGACTCTCGTCGGATCAAAGTATAAAAAAACTCCAAAAGAAATGTCTCTCGATCGGGGAATTGAACCCCGGTCTCCAGCGAGTTGAATCATGATTCATTGACAAGCTGGCATACTGACCACTATACTAATCGAGATTTGATTGATAGCTGGCTGCTTATCACACACCATATTATATAATCGGGGCTTAGCGTGCCGACTCTATTTCTATGATGCCTTATTCCGTCGCTTGCAAGCCGAAAAATGATTCTACATCCATATGTACTTGAATTATTTGGAAGTCCTCCAAATGGCCACTTGATTATATCCATTTGCATTACTTCCGACCATTCAATTATCAATGCTTTGCATATGTTCCTTCAATATTGAACATTGGTGGCACCCTTGTGATTGAGCCGACTTATTAGGCAATGCGTGATAACCATCAATAATATTGGATGGCCTCGACTATGTATGCTTGAAAGGTCCCGTCCATCAAAAGCAATGACGCAGAAAATGCACAAGCCAGTCTCGAAAACTGCTTCCTTTCTGGATCATGGACTTTATAGCTGCAGAGTAAAATGCCTCTTCAAACATATTATCCAAGTACCGAGATCTTCCAAGCTAATTGATACAGGCAAGTTGCGTCTTATTTGCTGCGGTCTTACAAAAGAGTAAGACGACACTGTATCACTGAAGGCTACCAATTTACTTGAAGATTATTCAGGGTACAAAATACTCCGCCAGCCTTTCCATTTCGTAGAAAGAAGACCCGTTGACAATTAAAATATGCGTGCACATTCAAAGGATGGTTCAAGAAAGCCGGTGCTCCAATTCACAAAGCCTCTGGATAAGGTATGGTGACCAGGTGCATATGCTTCAAGGTATGATCCCTAAAAACATATTATTCTGAGATTAGATTTCGGACAATCTGCGATATTGCGACAGGTCTCTGAGTCAATCCAACTGTACCAACGACTTGCATTCAAAGGTAATTCACTGGAAGAGCAGAAAATTGAACTAAATAAAATATATCGTGCTAGAGAAACCAGTAGCAATCTATATATTATTATCCATTATGTTGCCACAAACTTCCATTCTTAAATAAGCACATTAAAACAACAACTCGGCCGCCCTCCATAATTAAAAGAATAAAATAAAAATTCAAACAGCAAAATAAAAAGAAACATCTACCAAGAATGGGCAAAAGAAATTGCTCAGCCACAGGATTGAACTGAGGACCTTCGCATAACTTGATATTCCTGGTGAGGGAATATTAGTACGACGCTCTAACCAACTGAGCTAGCCGAGCAATTGTTGAAGGCTGAGGCGCTTATCACAGACTAAGAACTATTGCCCCACTGTCTACATGATTGAATGTTATTAGCCACCGCTTGATCAATGGTTAACTATGATCTAACGGTTATCTATGGGTCTGTGATTAGGCATGACACATTCGCGACTCTTTGGTTGCCCTTTAAATCATTTTGGACCTTTAGACGAGATTTTAAACCGTAGTAAGCCTCTAAATGTTTGTAGTCGCAGGTGGTTAATTAGATCAGTCCTTTCTCCTTAGTCCAAAGTCAGATGAATACATTCTTGTGCCATTTTGGCACATCACTTGGGACCACTGGCGTGTTGTAATAATGACTGTAATTGTATCTGTTCATCGCTCAGTTGGCCCAGGAAACGGCCAACATGAAGCTCACATGTCAACGCAACACTTTTATATGGTCAAAACTTTGGGAATATCGAAAGCTTCATTGGAAAAGCTATGCACTATCAGCTAAGCAGAATACTTCTGCCTTGTGTTTAACCCAAATATGGTAATCATGATATGCATATGCAGGGCAAATAGTCAACGAAGGTCATATTCTAACGACCTTGGTATACAATTTATATACACATATTTGGAATCTAGTACATCTACCAGTCATAAACGAGAGGACGACAACGCCTCATGAACCAATTGATACAAATTTCCACAATCCCTACTTCAACACTTTCCTTGCATTTGACTCCCATGACTAAACGGCTGAATCGTTGGTTCCACCGTTGCTGCCATGACCGACGTGCTCGGCGTGCGCCTTCTCCGCGTCCGGGGCACCGACGGCGCTGGATCGACGTCGTGCGGCGTGCTGCGCCTCGGGCGTATCATCATAGTTGATGAGGAGCTCACCCTTCTTGCCGTAGCGCCTCGGCTTGGTCCTGGCCACGTGCACAACGTCGAAAGCGCCCTTGGCACCGCTGACGTCGTGGAAGATCTCGTCCATCTCCTCCAGTGAGCGTCCCGCCTGTAGGGTTGCCGTGTCAGTATGAGAGGTACGTCATGTTGATCATAGATAATAGAGGGGTGAGTAACTCACGGTTTCCGGATAGAAGAAGTATACGCAAGGCACAATCGCCGCATTGATGCACGCAAATACGACGTAAGTCTTCCACTGAATATTGGCAAAAGCGACGGGGGTAACCATGACAACCATGAAGTTGAAGATCCAGTTTGCCGTGGTCGAGATGGCATTTGCTGGAGCTCTGATCTGAAGAGGTGTAATCTCTGCTGGATACAGCCTGGGCGCGATTGATTAGCCGTGCATCAAATGCTGGCAAGACGAAAGCGAGAGGACCTACCATGTCATGCCTAACCAGCCAATGGCAAAGAAGGAATTAAACACAAACAAGAATACCGCGGCAGCAATACCTGAAGCGGTAGAAACATGGGAAGTCGTGCCGGCGAGTACTATATTGAGAACGTTAGAATGTTTCATGGAATTCTTGAACCGAGACCTCGAGATCAATTACGCACCTGCCATGGACATGGCTTGCCCAGCTGCACCGAAAAGCATCAGGCCTCGTCGACCGAATTTCTCAATGGTAAAGATAGCTACCCATGAAGCGATGAAATACTCTGTTCCGTTCAGTGCAGCCAAGAGCCGGCTGAGGAAACCGCTGAGACCAATATTATTCTCAAAGATGGTGGCTGCATAATAAGTGATGATGTTGATACCGGATACTTGGAACATATAATCAGTATGCATCGAGGATTTATCAAGGACAAAATTCAAGCACGAGATAATGATATTCGAAAAAAAAAAAATGTTGCAAGCCCATTCGTGGACTGCTTTGAAATGAACGGAATATCATGAGAAGGAACTCACTTTGCTGGAACATTTGGTTGACATAAGCCAGGATTGTTCGGTGAAGATTTCTGCGCGACAAGACCGTTAACAGCCAAAGAAAGTCCCAATGACAAGCACAAGTTAATTGCCTTACCTGCTCTTATTGCGTTTGAAGCAATCAGAAAAGGAACCCTTCTCCATCTCGAAAACAACATCCTTCATGGCCTTGTAATCTGCCTGGATATTGGGATCCTCGGGCGGCAGTTCAGACAAGGCGCAGAGGACTCTGACGGCTTCCTCGTCGCGACCCTTGAGAATCAACCATCGTGGGGACTCGGGCAGACCCGGAATGAGCACGACAATGAAAATTGCCAAGACGATTTGGAAGGCAATCGGGAAGCGCCACGAGATGGTGGATGGCTCAAGAAAGGAGAAACCGAGATCGATCCAGTACGAGAGCATCACGCCAAAGACGATGAGAGACCCTTCGATCATTACCATTTGACCTCTTCGGTGTGCCTTGGATGTTTCTGACTGCCATGTAGGCACCGTGGATGTATTCATGCCGTTTCCTGGAAGGTATCAGCGTCAGCGCCGCAGTATTTATAGATCTTTCGGGGCCATGGGATATCCTACCGAAACCGGTAATCAAGCGGGCGGCAATGAGCTGGCCGAGACTAAACGAGGCAGCCTGTATCGCAGCACCAACAATCATGATGCATGATCCGATGAAGATGGTCCTTTTACGACCAAGCATGTTGCCCAACCATATCGTTGCAAGAGCACCAAAGAAGCAGCCAAGAGTATAGCCGCCGACCGTGATTCCTGCAAACGAAAAGTGTTAGAATGTAGAAGGCATTTCATGGGAGATTCTTTGTATTGCATGCCTTGAATATTGGATGCTTGAGATGCACTACTTCCCGGAGGGGGATTCTGCGTATCTATCTGCGGAAAAATCGCCAGGAATGATGGAAGGGTGAGCAATCCACCCATAACACCCTGTAATTGTGTGAGCTTCCAAACCAGGGTCGAGTATATGTGACGAGAATCACCTGGTCATAGCCAAAGAGAGCAAAATCTGTGCCCGCAATGACGGCAATGGCCACATTGAGCTTGGTGCCCGTCAGGCCATAGTACGGCCTCATTTTCGATTATTTCGAGTGGGCCGGATCACGTAGGGAAAGAAGACTATAACGAAAATATGGAGGAGCAAGATAGTTTAGAACAGTAAAAGTCCCTACAAAGGAAAGCTCTGGAGAACGTTTCTTCAGCCGCGACGCCTCCTATGCAGGTGCTCTTTCCAGGACGTCCCTCGGCTCATATAGTCGCGACAACGTAAGCTGACTTGCAACCCACAAGTCCACTGGCGATCCCATCTCCCGGGCTCAACCAATCTCAATCAGATCCCAATCGACGGTATTACTTGTTTCCATGGATTCTTCGGGCAAAACGCGGGGCCCCGCGTGCGGAGAAGGCGGACATGCTAAGAAACTGTATTCTATGGGTATCTCAAGGTCCGGGAGACCCAAAAAGGCAATCCGTGAGGCCATTTGAGACTGCGATCTACCATATCCCAGACCTATCCTGACTCAAGCACATGGATTTTCACCAGTGACACGCCGTCATGGAGAGATAAGTTGAGGCAAAATATGGAGAATGGCACCATGAAGAAGAAGAAAAAAACCCGCATGCCAAGTTTCCGGGGGGAAGGTTGCAGTCTGGGGAAAGTGGTCCTTGAAGGCTGATGCTCTCAATTTCCCATGGTGTGCAGAGTCGCCATCATGAGGCGAACTCTTGTCCCATCCAAATTAAAGACGCCCTATCGGGCGGACTAGCCGATAACAACGGCCATGCTTTCCGGCATGAAGCAGTTTTCAGTACGTACTCAGGTAGATATTATCATTATTAGTACATGGTATTGTAAAGAACAAATCTTAGGCTTGAAAACCATGCAGATCACTTCCCAACACATTTCCATATAAACACATGCTTGTTCAATTTCACCATCAAGTAAGACATCAGTGCCCATGTAAGTGGTCACCATGATGACTTCACCGGTTGACAATCGTCTGCCAGTGCAAAACCGTAGCCATCAAGTGCCAAGAAGTGGTCCATTCGAGCTAGCACTGCCCCAATCCATCGTTCCATATTCCCGATAATCTCCTGATATGTCTCCTCATCGCCTGTAAGAAAATAGTACAACAACACCATTGTTGACCGTGATCCCATTGTGTTGAAACGAATACTCTTGATTCTCACCATATTCCCATCAAAAACAATGTCGGACCCTAAGCTAGCTGATCTCAACTCTGCTACTCTGGGCGCCAAGATGCCCGAGATCACATTGCCAGATGGCTCGGTCGTGCAGACCGGTACCGTTGGGTAAGTACTTATAGTCGTCGATTACCTTGATGTAGTCTCTAAACAATCTCGAAATCTGGACTGTCCTCTGCTCCCTTGGGGTGGGGGGGGGGGGGGGGGGGGCTGTGATACCTCAGGGCGAGTTTCGCTGGCTAATCGACCTTTTCCAGTGCACTCCTCATCAATATCAAGGCCTACAACGAGGCGCATGCCAGCGGCGATGAGTCCAAGAAGGCCAGGTTGGCAGAGGCAATGCGTGCTACTCTGCCAATGCTCAAGAGGGTCGGATTTTTTGATCTCTTCACGCCAGAGGAATGGATCCAGGGCGACAATGAGGGAAGAAAAGTGGTTGGCAAGCTTGCACTCGAGTCTTGAACTTTGCTCTGCCAGCGCTTCTGGTCATGAACAAGGTTCAACTGCAGCCATGGACCGTCTGTCTGGAAAGTCATGACTGACATGTCACATGGGTCATCACAACACTCTCCTCTCAAATTATGTAATGGAATTAGTTTTCAGGATTTTGCGTCATTATATTTATACATGTCGTATTCCTCATACATATGCTCATTAGAATTAGACAGACAAGACTTCCATGACACGCTGCTGATTTTTCCTACGCGTTCAAACAAGGAAAAGCCCCCCCTTCCAGTAACGTGTAGATTGTTTGTGGTAGTGATCTGATTTCAGTCATGATCAGCTCCTGTGGCCCTTCTGTTCCACAATTTGTGGCTAATCTGTAGCTCCGCTCTTGCTGATCATCAAAGCAGGCAGCAGAGCATCCTCAGTAAGGAAGTAGTCCTAACAAGAGCCGCACCAAACTCTCCGCAGGGGTCATGTTCTCTCTGTCATTTCTCTCATGATGCCATTTGCACTCCTCCACGTCCATATCTCTAAGCGTAGTGTGGAGGTCGCTGAGACTGCATCTCGACGCCGTAGTTAGGGTCCTCAGGCTTCTGCGGGTACACGGCCGAGTTGGGACTAGGCGATCTGTAGGAAGTGTCGTTGAAAGGATTCAACTGAGGGCCTCCGTAGGCGTACCCAGCGGGTGGAGGGGCCATGCCGCCCTCTACATGCTGGGCCGCGGCCGCGCTGTAGTTGCCGCGGTTGTCGAGCGTGCCCTTGCGCAGACGATGTGTGAATCTGGCTCCAAGGATAAGCTGGCTCAGAGCCGTCGAGACCAGGACGGCACTCAAGAAGAGATCAAGCCAGCTGGCGCTGCCCTGGGCGGCGCTGACAATGGCCAGGATAAAGTAGGCACCCCAAGCTGCAGTCTTGAGCACCGCGAGCACCAGCAGGGCGACGGGGCTTAGGACGCGGCGCGCGTACAACACGCACTCGACAATGTCAAAGACAATGGTGCACACGGAGAAGACGAGGATGACACTGCCGGCGGCGGCGGCGTAGGTGAGCAGCTGGTCGGTGCTGTAACCATAGTAACTGTAGTCCAGGTCGGTCTCGTTCTTCTTGACGTAGGCAGCGGCCGCCAGGAGCAGGCCCGAGGCGATCAGAAATACACCTGCTGCAAGACACTGGAGAATCCAGCACGGTACAAGCTGTCGCTTGTGCCACAGACCTTCGTAGCGACGCATTTTATGTGATGTAATGTGGAAAACTGGGTTGCGCAATGCAAGAAGAGGGCGTTTGTTGACTTGTTTTCCGTATCCTTCTTCCTTTAGCAGACGCTTGTGTGGTTTGATTTCCAGCTCTGTGTTGTGGTGTGTTGAAGTTGAATAATTCTGTACCGGCGGGCGGATACAGTAGAAATAGACGAGACAAGTGTCGACAGAAATGAATGGGAAAATTTCTCACGACGCACTCGAGAGGCGCGGCTGTATATAAAAGGAGGAATCTATTGAGTCAACAACAAGAACCTTGCCGCCCAAGTGGGCTGTGATTGCTACCTAGTGGTAGTGGATGGAAACGGCTCATGGCGCAGCTTCTGAATGGACGGCTGGGACAAGCAAAGACTCACCCTAGCCCACTTATTATGGTTAATTTAGAGTCGTTTTCCACTCAAGCCACTGGACTGGGGACTGCCAAGGGTCGCTAGAATGTGCTGTGTGTAAGCAGTATGCTGTAGTGGGCAAGGCTCGCTGTCAAAACCCTGTGAATCCATTAATGCCTTGCATATAACTACTAGGTAGACTTTTCAGCTTTGTGCCTTTGAACAACAACTCTTCCTCCTCCTCAAAAGCCGAATTTTGTTACATTTGCATCACTTGAAAGTTTATCAGCTAAACCTTTTACCATTTTTATATATAGAAAAACACTGTTGCTATCACTGCCTTCGGAAATGAGCGACTCCAGGACAAAACGGCGAAAAGGCCAGATTGGGCTGAGCTAGATAACGGTAAAATTGCCGTCATGGTTTTACCTTGATCCAAGACGCCAAGGAGCGGCACAGCACTTCTGAACAAAGGTGGCAGAGAAAGAGGGAGAGAGGCGCGCATATACGTGCAGATCATTCACGTCATGCGTTCCTGACTTTGAGCATTCGGTCAACTCTTGAGGTAGATCTTCAAAAGGGAAGGGTCAAACACCGCCTCCCTTGAGGTCAGTTGGGCGATAGGCCAAGAGTGGCTTATCTAAAACATAACGATAGTCGATAGGGTACCATATCCTCACCAACCTGAAAAGTGATAGGCACACAGCAAAGCCAAGAGAAATGTGACCCACTCTCCAGCTCATGATCCGTCATATGATTTTATACTTTTCCAGCACAGCACTCATGGTTCGGATTCCTTGCATAAACGGAAGGATCAAGCAACTGTATTGCTGTTTCTAGTTCTAGAGTGTCTCGAGATGTCGTCCAGCCTTGGGACCTAAGTACCTTTGCTGCTAATTCTCTCTTGGTGCCAATGTCTTACAACTAGGCGAGAGAATAAAACATTTACAGGAGCTTCTGCAAGAAAGAGGTCCTTACAGCCTGTCTTGTTCTTGTCTTCTCATCTCATCCCGAAAGTAGTTACGCTCACCGTCCGCAACCCTCTCACGACCATCTCTGGTTCCAGACTGCTGGAATTCCATGCTCTTGTCTTCCACCGGAGTGCCAGCCAGACTGCCAAGTGCATCGCTGTCGCGTCTTGGGAGATCGCTGTCGCGTCTTGGGAGATCGCTGTAGCGGGGGTTCGGCTCGTCGCGGTAGACCTGACCACCGCCCGCGACAACCTCACGCTCCATCAATTGGACACGCTCTGCTGCCTTTTGCTCCTTTTGGCGCTTGGTAAGTCCACGGGCGGGCGCTTTACCAAGACCGTGGCCGTGGCGAGTGCGCGACATGACGTTGCCAAGAGTGATTCTGCGCTGCTTCTTGTTCCAGAGACAAGTACCAAAGAGGCATATGATGACAAAGCCAAAAATGACAGGAAGGCCAATGTACAAGGCGGCTCCGTTGGGCAATTGGGCGGCCGGTGCATGGTATGTCGGAGTCTTGGTGACTAGAATAGTTGGGCCCTTGTAAGACTTGCTGCTGGTGCTACTTGTCGTGTTGACAGCAGTGATGGCCACGGAGATATTCACGCCGGATTTGCCCTGCATTAGGCTGGAGTCAACTGTCAAGGCCCAGAATCCCCACGATGCCACCATCTTGTCCGACTGGAAAGCCTGAGTAGTGGTCTCGCCGGTTGTCTGGTTGAAATAGTTTCCTTGAATCTGGACAGTTGTGTTGGCAGTAAAGTAGGAGCTGTCCCAGACGACTACATACCCATTAGCATCACAGCTGCATTGGCACAATTCGACTGTAGGTATCGACTTACAGTAATAGGTAGTTCCCGGGTACAGATTCGAGCCATCGTCCGGAGAACACCATGGAGCATCGGTGCCATCCTTGTTGTTACAGACAGCAAAAGAGCCAGCACCGTCGGTAGCAGTGGCTGTGGCTATCGGTGCCGAGCCAGTGCTCGTTGTGATCTTGCCATAGCTGGTCTGCGTAAAGACAGTGCCAGTAATGTCATTTGGAGCAGCAGAGACCGTAGAGGTGACACCATCGACTGTCGTCACGTACGGCGTCACGGTAGAAGCAGTGCCGGAGTCGTCGACGGTCACCCAAGGTGTGAGCCCGTCGGTTGTCCTGGCTCGGATGTTGGGCATGGAATAGACCGACGTTGCCAAGAAGGCGATGGCGGCCAGAGAGGTTGTGCTCCGCATTTTCGCAGAAGCTTATGTCAGAGTACGTTGTTGGGAGTCTTGACTTCAGTATTATTAGATAATTACGATTGAGTGGATTAAAATGATTAAAGCCGAGTTATCAGTGCAGAACGATGTGTGAGCTCCGATTTGGAGGGTGATTTAATGAGTGTGTCCTTTAAAAAAGAGTGACGGCAGTGTATTCGGAAACCTTTAAAAGAGTGCTAAAGGTTCAGGATGGGTGTCGAATACAGACAGAATGAGTGCAAAATCGCTCAAGCGATGGACATGTTTTAGTGTTTCGCGTTCTTGGGAGAGCTTAAAGAAAGAGATGAGAGCATCCGAGCAACGCCAAGTTGGTGAGCCGAGCCAGCTAATAATGCACCTAGTCCAAGGTTGCATCGCGCCCGCGTTCGCCCCTGAGATTCAATTCCCCGCGTGGTAATTTCGGGGTTAACCGTCATAGCTTTGGAGCTGCCCTCTCAGCAGATTGGATCAAGCCCGCTGGTCCACCCATTACAAGGGATTTACAGAGGAGACTCAATCTCTCGAAAAGCTTCCAACCAGTGATTAGCTCTGAAGAGTCAATAGCCTGGGCACTGACTGGGTCCATAGGGGAAGCCTCAAAGCCCCCATTGAGTGGGAAAATCGTTCCAGACTATCCGGTCGCTCGAATCTCGATCCTTGAAGCTGCTTTTTCTCGAATGATGTGTTTCAATCACGTAAAGTATACGTAGATGTCGAGGATAGTTTATTTGTTTTACAGCTCATACAAGAAGTTGGCTCGGCTGGTCTCCGAGACTGGTGGAGACTCGCAACATTCCAGAAGATCTTGCCAAGGCATGGGCTAGAAGACGCCAGGAATGAGTCCAATGGCTGTACCGTCGTCCTAACTTTTGGAATACCCGTGGACCACGGCGTGGGATCTACTACAAGGGCCCAAGATCTGTTCGCAAGAGCTTGAGCATCGAAACTAATCAGTCTTTCCCTAATCAAATGGTGGACGGCTTCGTCTGGTAAAACCGACCGCCCTGCTGGTTCAAGATCGGAACCTACATGTACCTACAGGGCCCACCCTATCGAGGTTGCTTGTAAGTCTGTGAATAACTATATTACTGGATAGACTTGACGTTGTCATGGAGATATCTAAATATCTGGTAGGCATGGCTCGCGATAGACCTTCCCTCTTAGAAAGACTTATTGGTTTAGGTTTTCTCGAGAGCCCAGGAACATGAACAAATTGCTCATCGAGCTTCAGCATTGCCCATGTGCCTGATGCATTGAA